CCTGGACCAAAGGGTAAAGAATAGGTATGCTCCTATTTGACACAATATAATTTGAACTAATTTACTTTATCCATTCACATTAATTTCTTGACAAGGAGAATGATGCTTTCTTATATATTGAACTTCACATTAGAAACTTTACTAGTAGAATTAGTTAATTAAGAGTTTGTTAAAATTACATATTTATTTCAATTGCCTATTATTGATAAATAAGCATATTGAACTGTATTGTTGTGATTAAGTATTGATTTTCTAAATCCTAGTTCGTAGCCTCTAGTATTACTCCCTGTGGGATCGATATTCAGGACTCCATTAGAGCCCTGCATTACTTGAGCGATACGTATACTTGCGTTGATAAGTGTGACTTTGCAATTATTGAATATTTTATACATATTTTTATCAAATCTATAACCATTGTCAAGTTTTTGGTACCGTTGCCGGGGACTTAAATCTTCTAGCAACAGTATCAAATTCTTGTATTTTTAAGCATATATAAAGTTGCTGTCAGATTTTTGGCACAGTTGTCGGGGACTTAAATCTTCTAGCAACAGCATCAAATTCTTGTATTTTTAAGAATATATAAAGTCGTTGTCAGATTCCACGTGGTAGCTTCTTATTGGCTACCCTTTGCAAGCCTTCATGCGGTACACGTACCGAATAAAAATTCCTTTAATAGACGCTGCTATGGGATCGACTCCACGGCCCGCGTTTTGGATCCCGATTTTCCTCTCGTGCTCTTCAATTCATCTTTTTCCTCGATCACACTGCAAGCAGACGAAGGCAGGGTATCGAAAGCCTTAACTACACACACAGTACCGTGATCCTCTTCTTCTTCTTCTTCGCGGTTTTTGTCATGTGGCTTTAAAGCATAAAAGCCGCCGCTCCCACCTTTGTATGCGAAGACGACACGTCCACCCTTCTTCCTCTTTGATCTCGACTTGACCCACAAACACTCGCCGCTTCCTTCCTGCAGAATGTGTTCAACGTGTAAGGTTCCTTCCTCCAATCTCTCCAAGCGAGCACTACATGAAGGTTTCTTCTTGCTCCTTTGACCTCTTCTTCTTCCATTCTCTCCTTCGCACAGTAGCCGCAACTTCTTTCTCCTTCTGCTCATTAAGCAGATTGAATGAGGATTTAAATAACAGAGGTTGCGATTAATCCCTGCTAAGAGGTGTGTCTATCCTAACAGACACTTATTTTTATATATTTATCATTATTATTTCTATCAATTCTTGCTCAACCATATACATCTATTCTTACATTAATCCTAACAGACACTTTTTTTATTTATTTTATAATTGTATTATACATTTATTTAATAATTGCTTGAAAAATCCAATAGTTATGTTTTGTTTACCACCGGGTCATGTCTTTCTTCTATCATATTGTGTTTCACAATTTGGTATCCACAAACACACGCTCGTGCACACACACACACAACAGTCAAATATAAATTGCATTGTTTCTAGTTATAACTCTTTTGTGGGATAAGGAGTTCATTATGTTTTTTATTGTTAAGTGAGGGTTGTCTCTTATTTTTTTTAATATTCTATATTGATTTTTTGTTTCTCAAGTATCAAATATATTACTAGGACAGTTATGTTGCAAACACATTTACTGCACAGGGGTAGAATAGTCATTTATCCAGAAAAAACCGCAAATCAAATATTTTCAAACAGTACAAACAAAACAATCATCCAGCTTATTATGATAAGTTGTTGATCAACAACTTATTAGGATCATATGGTTATCAATTGATTCTTCAATAAGCTGCAACTACCCCAAACAGACCCTAAGCGGCAACATTAGGCTTTCCAATGGCTTCATAGTCATTAGGACATAATGATAAAAAATAAATTTATTATTGTTCTTTAGAACAATGATAAACGACATTATCATCATTCTAAAATGTAAAAATATTCACTATAAGAATTGTTATTCTTAGCGTCCGATATTTGCATCAGATTTTTCGGATGCAAATATTTACATTGGATTTGCGATTGTTAAACGATGAAAAATAAATTTTGATATTTACAGTTGATTTTTTGTCTGATGTGCATCCAACAATTCAACATAAAAAGTACTCATAAAACTGCAAAACTTTTATTTGAGTTGTGACGGATTTAGCGTTGGATTTTTATCCAACAAAGCGACACAAAAACTTTAATTGTTGACGTCGAATTAAGTCTGATGCAAATTAAACTTAAATCCAATGCAAATGGCCTAACATACTCATCTCGCGCGCTTAAGTTTCAATTCTCTCTTCATGCTCTCTCTCGGTCTCGTCGTCTGTCTGAAACCCTCGCAAGCTCCTATCTTTCCTTTCGCTTTCCCTTTCGGCTTCACTCAAAACCATCACTTTCTTGAACGAATCTTCACGATACAGTCGTCAACCATTAGAACTAACTGGAAAGGTAACGACCGAGAGCTTATAGAGACCACCAAAACTCCCTTATTTTTCTAAAGTTGATTTGTCCGTACTGTATGAATATGTCAAAGATATTTACTCTGAAACATAATAAGAAAAAACAACTGATTCGAGTGTCACTGAAAATCTAAAAATCAACTAAATTTTTAGCTATTGTTCCTTAACGTGTGGGAATGCACCTTAACATTTAACAGTATACCATAACATTTCATGATTGCATTTTAATTTAGACAAGTGCACCCAGACATTTGACGAGTGCAACTTAATTTTAATTAATGCACAACTTTCAACGAGCTTACATTTTCATTGAAAAGTACGCATTAATCTATAGCCATTGCACCATGATTTTTTAATAAGCACGCTTATAACACTTTTTTTTTCAAGGCATATTAAGCTCAATTGAACCAAGTTGCTAGGGCACTTCAATATATATAAAATCAACCCACTAGGATCACGAATGTACGCTACAAGTACATTAATAATAACTCCATAAAACGTTTTCTTAATCCATTTTGCGAGAGTTTTGACTCACCTATCCTATCAGAGATAGGAGAAATATTTACGTACGTAAGACGCAAAATTACGTACATATTAGATTATTAAGAGAATACAGATAGCTTACACTTACATTATACCCCTAATAATTCTTCATGTAACCTAAGTGTAATCTATATATACCCTCCGAATAACGTACATCTTACATACACAAATATTTCTCCACATCTAGAGCACCTTTGTTTGATCATTGAACAATTTAATATCTTCCTTGAAAAAAAAAAAATTCTTTAAAAAGTAGTCACTTTTTTAGCTTGTTTATTGAGAAAAGGAGAACTATTTAATCAAACAATGAGCGAAAATCATTGTTTATCGGTTCTTAAAAGCGTGATTTTTCATGCATTGAAAGAGGGGATTTTTTCTTGGGTGCAGTGAAAGAGGAATTTCAATCAAAAATAAATACAAATATAGTATTACATTAACTGCAATCGAAATTACCGGAAGCTAAATTTGCAAAACAGAAAGTGGAAGAAAAATCATATCTACGCACAAACTAATTTCTGAGAGGGATGGAAGGCACTCTAAGATCCTCCATCACTTTAACGTAGCATTCTCTACCATCTAACATTTCTGCAATTTATCACAAGCTCCACCACTACAAAAGTTAGCCATCTTATCTGTGCAATATCTTCAACTTTGATGGGACTAAAGATCACCAAGAATGGATGCCAACCTCAAAGCCAGTCATAACCAACTTTAAATTTGCTTCTTAATCGGGGGTCATGAACTTAGTATTCTCCCAGAAAAGAGCAATTCGAAAAACAGGAATGCTGAAGCTATAATATAAGCCTTGATGGGTTGATAAGCATCTCATCTTGATGGCTGATCTGAACTAGGGTTTCCAGCAGGTTGGCTAACGCTAGAGCCAACTACATTCTCCAATGGAGGAGCAGATCCCCATTTCCCTTGGGATTCCAGAGGCTCAAGTACATGGACACCACCATCAGTTAACCCAAGAGCAAACTGATTGGGGTCGGTGGGATTGGCAGCAAGAACGACGGGATAAACACTGGAGCTGCGTCGAATGAATTACTGTCAAAAAGAATACAAAGCATGATGTACTATGAAGAAGAAATAAAAAGCATGGCAATACCTCGGCGGAGAATTAATATAGGCTGCAGGGCTTATCCGACACCTCAATCTAAGTATTGATGTGAAGACACTCACACTTCCATCAGTGAAACTGGCATAGATCATTTGGCTATCACAAGAATATGTTGCATGGGTTACCAAACCATCGCGGGGGACCCACTGCAAAGTTCATGGGAATAGGTGCTTGTTAGTTTGGCTTTCATAAGTATGTAAGACCTATCTATCCATATATCTGCCCTCCAACTCTGTTAATTATCATGCATTTAGATAGAAAAAATTCTAATTGGGAAGCTGATGCGTGCATGTATGAAACAGTAAAAAAATGAATCAACGCGCCTGCTTAAGACACTCCATTTTTCTGGCTTCATATATTGCTATCTGGGATTCGTGCACAACCAAGAACTGAACCTGATCCTGGTGGAATTGAACCTTTGTCTCTGCAACCGGGCCTGGAGTCCGACCAGGAGGAATCTGCAAAAACTTGCTACCTTGTTTGTCCCATGCATTCATGCCCCACACGCACAGCTGGTAATCAAAAAGAAGAAATTGCCATCACAATGAAGCGGTTCATACAAAATAACCAGCAGTTCACCCTATGAAGTACTATTGACTTTTTAGGCAGGAAATTCTGAACTTCGCTTAAGATACCTGGGAATCTGCTCCCGAGGAGATGAGAATATTAAGCACGTTGGAAAATGCAAGCCCTGTAATCCTCTTTTGATGCCCTCTGAGTTTGCTCTTAACCTGCAAATTTAATACAAATAGATTGAAATTTCAATCTTTTCCTTGACTAGCTCCCAACATTGAAGTGATTTATTTGAAATGATGATCCAACCTCATCAACCCGAACATTATAAATTTGGATTGAGGAGTCATCCATGCCTATAGCAATGATATTATTGTCCTGTGGATGAAAAGCAAGGAAAGTGGCTGCAGGTGGTGGCGGCATGAACGTCGTCATTGTCTGTATTTGACAAGTTGAATAGCTTCAGAGTGCCATTTAAAACAAATATGCACTAGATAATTTACAAATGCTTAGATAAGTCACCTTGAACGACATCATGTTGAAAAGGGATATCTTTCCCCCAGATGCAGACAAGACATACGAATCATTTTTTGATAGTGCAAAGCAGTGAATAGCTTCTTCTGTATTTGCATCACTGGTTTCATTAGTCATCAAAATTCCACTGGTAGGTTGCCATATCTGTGGAGCAGTAGCTGTAGTGGCCTGGAAAAGAACAACATAGTCATGCATACCATGATCGAGTACATGACTTTAAACATTTCAGATGAAGTTAAACCTTTCCAGATACATTTCTGTCTGTTTTCGGCCATTTCCATAGTTTGTGAACAGCATTTGATGCCAAAGCCAAAATTGCAAGACCTGTATTGGTGTAAATCAACCTGGAAACCTGAGAAGCAAAAAAAGTCAAAGCAAGCCAAACCAAAAGTTAAAACCAAAGTCATGAGACAAATAAGTCAAACTTAAAGAGACACCATCGATCGACTTTACTCTGCATCAGCTATTAGCATCAAGAGAAAACATCGAATATCAAATTTTAAGATCACTATCATTGGCGAGCTAATTCAGAAACAAGTTCCTAATTGTTTTGGGAAAACTGAATTATATGCATAGTTACTTTACAATTTAGTAATCTCATAATTATGATTGCACACGTTTTTATTCTAATTTAATTAAATATTTTATTTATGTTCTAATCTCAAGTAAAAATATGCTTGTTTTTAATTCTTCATTACTGTTTTAAGAAAGCACCTCTTTACATAAATAGCACTCCAAACTTTGTTATTTACAAAACTAGCTCCCTCTTTCTATTCATTTTCCAAATTCTCACTCAAATATAAAAAATCACAACAAAACCCCAACCCGTATTTTTCAATTTTATCAAATTCTCAATGGTTTTACTGTCACACACGTAGTTTCACCAGTTCAGTTAGTTCAAAATAATGACCTGGACGCTAGTTTTGTAAATGACAATGTTTCTAGAGCTATGCAAGTAAACCCAATTTCTTCATTCTACTTCCTTGTCCTGTTCCCTTCTTCCACTTCTTCCTCCATTGAGTGAAAATGGAGACCAAACACCACACCTAAAGTCTTAAACCCTAATCCCTGCTCAACTCCCCACAAAAAAACTAAACCCTCCATTAAAATTAAAAAAAAATATATAAAAAAATAAACTAAAACCTTGCAGCAAAAACCCTAGTGAGGTGGCCTTATTAACTGCATTAACTTCAAGTAGTTGAAACCGTTGCTCAAGGCAATTGAAGAAATGTCAAGGAAGAATAATTAGAAAAACTTAAGTGCTATTGTTAGCTCCATAAAGAGGGATGGTAGGAGTTTAGAACTGGAGATGTCAGTTCCGTATATGATCGTTGAGGCTTGTGAGAAGCTGTCCGTAGGAGAAGCTAGCAACTAGGTTCCAATTGCTACTCTCACATGGTCAATGATGAAGCCGACATCAGAGGTGGTGCAGATACAAGGGATTAGTGGTCAGTGTTAATTGAGGTGCATTGTTTTTATCCGAGGTATTAAAGGAAGATGCAAATGATGTGGAGTTGAGGACGGGAACCTACTTTGAATTACCTTGAAACGAATATAAAAACATGAAAGGGACTTGATAAATAATTTTTATCAAGTACTCCATATATTTTTTTAAAGCTTAAATAAAAAATTGAACACAAATAGGCCTTTCGTCAATGTTGAGAAGAAAGATTTGGAGTGAATTACTTTTTGAATACAGGCATAAGAAACAATACAACAAGAAAACAAACAATCATGTATGTGTTTAATTCTAAAATGTAAACATGAAAAATAATCTCACCTATTGTGAAATGTTTTTTCATAAGCAAAAAATTAAAAAATTAAAAAAAAAAAAAGAAAGCATGGCGCAATTCCTTGGTAAAGATATCTAATACTTATCTTCAAATGAAAAAAAGAAAAGAAAAACAATCTTCTTTGAAGGCACGATATTCTGTATGAAATGAAAATCACCTTTAATATGTTTAATTTGTTCATGAAAAATGGGATTATTGACAATAGAAATGGCACTATGGTTTTCATAGGATCTTTTCATAAAATGGAAATTTGCAAAATAGCATCATTGTCTGATCCTAAGCTTCAATGCGAAAAGTGGAGAGTTACAATAGGTAGTAGACAATAAGCGTAAATTTTGCTGAAAAATTATAGCATAAATTCTTTAAATCATTGTATAAATGCTAAAGTAACCCTGAAAGCGACGCGCTATATAACCTGAATACTGTGAAAGGTGTGCAAGAGCCGTTTACCAGCGCCAGCTTGTAGTATCAAATAAGCAAGAGTTTCTATATTATAGACGGAAAAGTTAGTCCATCAAATTAATATTAGAATATGATCTTGGAATATATGTACTTTCACAATTAAATTAATTAAATTAATAGATATTATTATTCATGAAAGATAATTATCTTATGCATTCAAGAAAGTAAATAGGTTAGATAAAAGACAAAAAGATTGATAGCTTAGGTTTTAAATTTTGGTATTCACGTAAGAGTAGCACTATAAATAGTCTAGGTGTAATTATAGATAAAAGTGAAAGTAATTGTGTTAAAATTAATAGAACTAGAGATAAATTTATAGCCCTAAAAATTGTTATTGTAACTAAAATTTTTAATATTATAAATGTTTATGCTCAAGTAAGTTTAGATATCTGTTCAAAAGAAAAAATTTGAAATGACAAAAAAGAGCTAATAAAAATAAAGTTCTTGAAGAAAAAAGTTTTATTGGAGGAGATTTGATTGGACATGTTAGTAGAGTGGTCGAAGATTTTTAAAATATTCATGGTGACTACAGTTTGGAATGATTAATAAAAAAGGTAGAATAATGTTAGATTTTGTTTTACCTTCTGATTTTTTTATGGCTAATAATTTATTTAAGAAAAGAGAAGAGCATATTATTATTTATAAGAATGGATCTAATAAAACACAAATTGATTATTTTCTTGTGAAAAAAATAATTATTGACAATGTAAGGATTTTAAGGTCATTCCAAGTAAAAATTCAAGTACATAACATCGATTATTAGTTCTAGATGTTCAAATGAGAAGTAAAAATATAATGAAAATTTGTCATAGAATTAGACGGGCCGTCTAATATACAAATAAAATTATTTCTATGAGTAAACTTCAAAATTTTAAGATTTGAGATTATCATGAAGAAGTTAATTCTATGTAAAATAAAGATGTTGATATGCTTATATTCAAGTCATTAATAATATGTATACTAGTGTTATTTGTGTTCGTACAGAAGGAGAATTGACCAAATATTTTCCTATTTCAGTTGGATTACATCAGAGACCGACTTTAAGCCCATATCAATCAACAACATAAATAGCTATGATAGAGGCTAAGGTAGAATGTTTGATGAAAATAAGTTTAAGGGTTGTTTGAGATCAATTTTGTTTTTTGTTTTTGAAAGTAAAAAATAGAAAACAAACAAAAAACAATGTTTGCTTATTTATTTTTTGTTTTATTTCTATTTTTTATTTTTTGGAAAACCTTTGTTTGTAAAATACTCGAAACAAAAAATATATATATATTTTTGTCTATTTTTAAAACATTGAAAACAGTGAGTTCCGCCACCCGCTGCTCCACTACCGTCCTTCACCTGTCGCCGCCACCAGCCGCCACAGGCCACCTACTGTTGTATCTGTTTAATGATTGCCACTCGCAACAGCCGCCCACCGCCACAGTCCTCCTGCCGCTCGTTCACAGGAAATGCTTAGTGTTGGATGAAACAAGGAAGACAACCTATACGACATGGGCTGCAGAGCTTAATACTAGAGCGCATGTGAACCAAACCTTTTTATAAAAAAATATAGTTTTTTTCTTTTAAAAAAATATCCAATCAAACATATTTTATATTTTTTTTATTTTTAAAAACATATAAATCATAACAGTACTAAATGCACTTTCTAAAATAAGAAATTAAAAAAAACAGATTAAAATCAAAAATAAAATAGAAAACAGATGGTCATCCTGAACAGGCCCTTAACCTTTTGTACAAATGTGAAGGTGAATTTAAAATAACTTGCAAAATTTGTTAAATCAAGCACAAAAACTCTATATAAGGGTAGAAATAGAAAGAGGAGATTCTAGTGGTAAGGAAACACATGGGGCGGATGAGTCTAATAAGGCAGAGAAAAAGTGCATCTCATGAGAAAAAGCATTGGTTGAAATATATAAATTTCTGGTAAGAAAATCATAAAATCAATATACTTAGTGTAACTGAATATCTAACACATGAATTGAACGACATAATGAGAGAGCATATAACATGATTGAAGGCATAAGCAAACCAAATATAACTAAATATCTGTACTGCTAGAGAATATAGAGGTTAGTCGGGATTCAAAAGAGAATAAGTGAAGAGGTATTGAGGGGATTGAACTCAATTGATAATATAGCAAGCAATCAAGATTGTTTCACAAAATAAAATAAAATAAAAACATTGAGAAGCATTCATATGAAATATTAAGGTTTGAGAAACATCCAGCAGGTGAAAATCTTTGTGCTATACCACACTAGCCTTGAGATGTATAGTAGCACAAATTTTGATGAATAATGTCATATGTCAATAGAAAACATAAAGTTTAAAATTCGGATTTCATAAATACTAAAATAAATATTTTAGATAAATAATGTCATTATAGAACATGTTTAAAACTAAAAACTATTTAAGTTTAGGTTTTTGAAAAGTTAGAAATACGTGTATATTATTAAGTTAAATGTGCCTTATTATATTTAATTGAGTTGTACTGATCAAAAAAACTGCATGATCTATATAATAAACATGATGAATAAGCTAAGCAATTTCAAATCTAATATTCAGGCTCGTATAATAGATTGGTCAGTTTAGGTCATGTATAATTGAGTTTGGTTAACTTCGGGTAAGACCTAAGCTAGACCCATCAACCTGAATTGTCACACTAAGGGGCTAGTTATATCAAGAGTAAGAAAAAGGTATCGTAACAAACAAAAGAAAGCAAGCACAAAGGGATAAGATAGTCAAGTAAGTGGCAAGGGAAACTGCGACAGTGAGCGAGCATGACTGGTAGTGAGTGCATGCAATGTGAACGAGCATAACGAATCACATTCGAGGGATTACAACATATGGTTGAATGCAACACGAAGGTTGACCATGAAAATGAGCAAGATAACTGGAGCGATGTTACAAGCCATGATGGTGGGCTTAACAATGCTCTAATACTATAATGAGAAAAAACAATGTTTAGGCTTTATTATTGACTAGACATAGGAGACTATAAATAGACGTACAAGAGGAATAGAAAAATTAATATCAATAAGAATATACATTTTTATGGGGATACAAAAGTGTATCAATCACAATACTAATGAGA